CCTACTACTGATATCTGTAAGTGGTAGGAAGTTTGGACAAGTATATAGCTAGAGTATTTTGGTCATGTATGGTATAGTCACTACTACACATAATTGAAGTTGATTTGTCAAGTGTTGTGCTGGAAAGAACTAAAGTACAACCTAGTTTAAACTAGTAATATAAAAATACAAATTAAAAATAGAACAAGACTCTCACTTGTAATTGCACTAAGGTCTAATAAATGACTTTTGTGATCTATGTTTTGAGCTAAGTGAGCTAAAGTACAATAGGTTTAATCTAATAATATAAAAGTACAAAATTAAAACTAGCACTCGTCTCTCTCACTAGTAATTGCCACCTATGGTCTAATATAGTGAATTTGGTATTGACTATGTCTTGAGGTAGAATGAGCTATGGTAGCAACTGAATTAATCTTGTATAAATAAAAATACGAATTAAAAATAGCGCCCAGTCTCTCACTAGTAATTGCCACTAAGGTCCTAATATAGTGAATTTTGGTATTGACTATGTATTTGAGCTAAATAGAGCTATAGTACAACGAGGTTTAGTCTAATACTATAAAAATACAAATTAGACAAATAGCACCAGTCTCTCACTAAGTAATTGCACTATGGTCTAGTATAGTGAATTTGGTATTGACTATGTATTGAGCTAGAATGAGCTAGAGTAAAACTGTGATTAATCTAATAATAGAATAAAGGAACAAGACTCTCATTGTATTTGCACTAAGGTCTTATATAAGTTGTTTACAAGAATTAGAGTATAATTAGATTTAAATTGACAGATAAAATACACAAATTAAGGTAGCAAAATAATAATAATAAAAAAATAATTGATAAAAATAAAAATGGCAAGACTTGTTATAAAATGCTAGTAAGATGGTAGATAGGATGATATAAAAGTTGTAGTGAAAATACTAGGTTAAAAAAGTATGGAATAAAAAATGGTCAATAAAAAGAAGTTTACAATAAGTTTGATCAATATAGTTTAAAGTAAAATTGGGCAATAATAGGGATTTAAATAAAATTGTACAATTGAGTAATTTTTAAAGTGAGGTAGAATTATTCAAGACAAGTTATAGTTAGTTATATAAAAAAATAAGATGGAACAGTGATGTGGTAAGTTGTAAAAAGGAGATAGATTCGTAGATATTAAATACAATTAAGACTATGAGGTAGAATGGTCGTTGAGTACAACAATGACAATTAAAAGTAGTTGGAGTATTAGAATTTTAGGGGGGCACAAATTTTATGACAATATAATACTAACGTGGACTATGGGTATTATCTGCACTTTACTCTGATTTCTGTTAGTCCAGCCTCACTTAAGGAATGTTTTAAGGTCATGTTCTGTGGAGATGAAGTATCTCTTCCCAGTGGGCTGTTTCCTAACTGCTATTTTTCCATCCCTCACAAAGCACTGGTGGATTTTTTGGGCATAGCGCAATTTTCTTAGCCGATAAAGAAGGTTTTGTCTCGTTTTGGTAAGGCACTCATTGACGTAAACATCAGTTTTCATAGAAATAGATGTTTTTAGTAGGTTTTCTTTGTAAGCTAGTTTGGAATTTTAACAGCACTGTTTTTTTACCTGCTTGATAGCCCATCAGTTTGCAATCCTTTAAGTCATCACTACGTATGTTAAGGCGAAGGTGGTCCTTGATAAGCTGTAGGGTGGTCTCCATGCAGGTCTCTTGGGTGACTGTGGGTGGGAGATGTTTGCTGTTAACTACAACAGCGTCAGATAGCTGCTGTTGGTCATTATGGTCTTGGAAGTTGGTTATGACATTGGCAAGTTGTTGGTCCACTCTTGATCTTTCCTCTGTAATGTTGGTAGTAAGTAGGGTGACTTGGTCTTTTAGAGTGTTGATGGTGTCTAGGGACCGGGTGTGGGTGTTGCTTTGTTGTTCTAGAGTGTCTAGTTTATGTTCTAGAGCAGTGATCTTGTTGAGGTAATCTGCATTGCTAGCCTTTAGTTCCTGCATTTCTTGAGTTAGTATGGTGATCGTTGGTTCTGAATCATAAGGAGTTTAGCTATTTCTCGGGTCGGTGATCTTCTTGACATCAAATACTGGGAGGAGTTATCTTGGACTGTAGCGGCGGTCATGTTTGTTTGTTGTCTGTCGTGTTGTTGTGGGTGATGTCGGTGGTGATGAGGGTTGTGTCCTGGCTTGCAGTACTACAAGTTTTCCTCGTTGTATTACTGCTCTCACCTTTGATGTTAGGAGTCCTTAGCTGGTTTACTGATCTTCTTTATTGTTCTGGACCCTTGTCATTGGCTGTGGCTTCGGGTGAATAGTAGCGATGGGTGTTGGGTGAATGTTGTGGAGTATCACTTCAGTGGCAGCGGGTAGGAGTTGCTAGAACGAGTCCTAATTAGGTTGTAATTGTGAACTTTGGGTATTTCTGCCAGTTGCTTTATATCATTCTGGGATCCCCACATTTAGTGTTATGCGGGTCTTGATAGGCTCACTGGCTGCTGGGAACCTCAGGTAGAAGTAAAAATGAGGGCAAGGTTCCTGTTTGGCCCCGCCCTC